CAAAACCTTCCACCCAAGGCAACCCGCTGGTGTTTGATGCAAAACCAGTTTTTTTGGTTTTCCCGATGTTCAGAGACACATCCACCCAAAGCAGGGTTGTGGGATCAAGAGGTTTCTCCCCACTTCTGTGATACAAGGGAATCCCCCTTTATATGAAGAAAATAGTCTTTGGGGTTAGGCCCTTTCTGTTGTATCACAGAAGTGGATTCCATTCCAACCACAGCCCTGACCCAAAGCAACATGGATGGATCGTGAGCTCAGGAGAACCTGAGGCTGGCAGAGAGGCAGTTCATGCGCAGCTGCGAGGAGAATCCGACGGTTTGGGGTGGAAGGGTAACTCAGTTGCCCAAGGCGAATCGACCTTTTTCAACCTTTTGGTTTTCCAATTTTGGTCTATCTTTGGTAAAGGCAACCCAAAAGGTGATCACCTTTTCCTGGGTCCCTAAGGGGCGACTGAGGTAAAAGTGAGTGCCAGAACCGCTGGGCCACGAATGTGAGGCAAGAGCTGTGTGCTTATGCGAGGCTGCCAGGTGTTTTGAAGAATGAACCGTTGAGCAGAAGAAGAAGCACCAACCAAGGAATAGTTTGCAGTAAGTATATCAAAAGATACATCTTCACGTGTGAGATGTCCATGTTGCAGCCGCATGTGAATGCGACATTGTATTTGCACAGCCGGATGCGCTTAACACATACCAACCTCTCCTTATGGCTTATACATGTTCTGCATGTTGCACATTTTTAGCATTTTGCCATGCGCATATTTACGCGTGTATAAGTACACATACGTATATTGTTGGTAAACATAGCTTGCGGGCAGAAGGGGGGTTGTGCCATCTACTGCGCACTGGTGTAATGCCTTTGGCGCATTTTGCCAAGGGATGTTAGGACTTTAACTCTTTGCCAACTTAGTTGAGTTTTCCGTATTAAACCACTAAAAGTTGTCAGCTTTTAGCAGGGGAGCAGAGTTTGCAACCGAGGATTGGTGGTTTGAGATTTGAACCCCTGGGTCTTGTAGAGGGTTTTTGGAGAGGGAATCCACCCCTTAACCACCAAACCAACGGGCTCCAAACAACCAACTAGGTAGAAGCTTGGTTGTCGTTGGGAAATATTTTACATTTTTGCTTATTGTGGTTTAGTGGGAAATCCAAATCCACTTAACTGCTAAAATTCTAATTTTTTTTGCTCCCCTTCCAACGTCGGTGCATTTTGCTTGGCTGTTAGGACTTTAACTTTTTGCCAACTGATGGGTTTTCCACTAAACCACTAAAAGTTGTCAGCTTTTAGCAGGGCAGCAGATTTCGCAACCGAGTATTTTCTTGCTGGTGCTTGGCTAGAGGTAGCTCCTGCTCTTGGCGCAGGACCTGGGCTTCGCCGGGTGCATGGGCAGTTTGTGGCGCCAGTTGGACCCCGAGGGCACAGGCCGGGGACCCCACGGGGCCGAGGCCAAATCGTGGGCAAGCCGTCAGGTTGCTTCAGAAGCTTCACTGTTCTTGGATCATGTTTTTTTTTGTTTTTGGTTCTGTTCATTTTTACCGGGGATCTGCAAAAAACAAAGTTTTTAGCTACCATACCAAGAGTAGAGATGATCGGAGTTTGGGTTTGGATTTGGAGTTGAGGCCCTAGCTCTTGTGGGTGGGAAGCTACCCTTTACCAACGGGCACCAGATCTTGAGAGAGGCTCTTTTAGGACTGGTAGGCAGTGGCAGCTTTCGGAGTGAAGTGAAGTGCAGTGAGCTCGCGTTTTTTTTTTTGGTCTCCGCAGTGGTGCAAAGCAGGACACACTTTTCGTGGTGACAATAGGGCGGACTTTCAGGAGGTTTCCTGTGGTTTCGGTTGTTCTGGTTTTGATGAGTGCTTTGGGGGGTATGGACGGCGTGCTTGGTGCTCGACCCAGTTTAGGACTGCTTGTAGTGAACAAGAGTCAAACAGCAGTTTTAACGATTTCTGGAAAGGGAACGTGTCCTTTGATTGCGCCAGGGTGGTAGATGGCTTCCAGTTCCCGCTCTGATGGGCAAAGGTGATGACGACACCGAAAGTGGTTTGAGTTGTCCCATCCACCTGTACCCAACCGTAGCTGGGTTGTTTTCGGCACCCCACCCCGGCTCAGGGCAGGTGTGTTTGCATGACCTGGACCCCGTGGCGGCACAGCAGCTAGCAGAGTTCAAGGCGTGTGCGTCGGCATGGAGGGCTCGGAGTGACCCTTGATCTTCCGCCTCTTTGGTTGGCAATAATCACGGGTTCCGCGAAAAATCCAACGTCGCTCAGCAACAAACTGTGAAGGGTTGAAAAAGAAATCCCTGGGAGCATAGGTGTCCTTTTCGGTGAGGTTGATTGAACATAGACCTCGATTTTTCCACCAGGCTATGGCTGCGAGGGCTAACAGGCCAGGTTTGGGGTTGGATCCCGGACTGTGCGACTTGTTCGATGGAACCCCTGATTCATAAATTTGTGGTTGAATGGGTGGTGTCCCCTTTTTTTGGGGCTCATCACCGGAGGGACCCCCCCAATTAGTAGGACAGGGTTTTGAGTTTGCCCTGGCAAAGTGCACCAATGAACCAGTGTTCGTGGTTTCACGCTTGGGGGTCTTGCAAGAGTTTAGGAAGTTCAGGGTCCCCAAGGGGGGAAGTCAAAACACATGTGCTTTTGTTGTCATGGCATGTGCGCCATATGATGGCATGGAGCACGCTCCACTTGAGTCTAGAACGCAGCGCACTTTTTCTTTTGGAGATCCGAAATGAACATCATGCACCACAGGGCAGGGTGTCCGAGCCATTTTCCTTTTTTGGAACCTCCAAAAGTGTCGATTGTTTCATCAACTGAACGGTAAATCCAGCTCAGTTGTTCGGTGGCGGCCCCACGAAAAACAAATCGGTCTTCCCCCAAAAAAACATGGTTCCCATTTTTTTTCCAGGGTCACTGGCCCCTTTTTGCTTTTTTGGGGTTCCCTTTGTTTTCCACTAGCCGGGCAAAAAAAGGTCTAATTGTGTGCTGGGGTCCTAATTCCAGGGTCACTGAAGAACTGAGCCAGCGATCCCTGCCTGTGGCTCCTCGCGGCGAGAGGTCAGCCAGCAATTGGTGCCCTTTCTCTCCCTTTTTTGGGGAGGGCAAGCCCCTGCTAAAACAGACCACCGGAAAAGAATCTGGTGCCCTTATTCTAAGCTCTCTACTGGAGGACATAGAAGCCGAAACGGGGGGTCGGTCAAGTTCCCTTCTTTGGACCTACAAAAGGGGCAGTTTCATGGGAACCCCACCACTCATCGGGTATCTGCTTTTTTCCCGCAGCCGAGGTCCCAGCCCTGACCTGAGCACCCGACCCTGGACTCGTCAACTCGTCCGCCAGGTCTTGCTCCAGCAGTTCGATGGAGCCTCGGCGGCAGCGGATCGGATCTGGGGCGAGGTTGGGGGTGTCACCATGGAAAACCTGGAAAAGCCTGGAAAACCCAATCCCCCCTGCAATTCTTGAGGCTGAACTTGCTTTTTGGTTTTCAAGGAGTTGACTAGTTATGGACCAACTCAGGGAAGGCCCAAGATTTGAGCAAGTGAGCCTATCCGACATCCTCACGGACATCTTTACGTGATGACACGCCAGTTTCCGACTCGAGCCGAGCTCAAAATCGAGGCATGGCCCCATTTTGCTGGCACGTCCGAGTTCGCCAGGAAACCGTTTTCAGGGTTGCTCACGCGGGCCCCTAGGGCGGAGACAGGTGAGTTTGAAAAGGACGTTGCGGCAGAACATTTGACAGGGGGCAAAGGGAGGCGAGTCGGGAGAAGGCACACGTTTTTGTTGGTCAATATCCACAATGGGTGGTTCATGATGGTCCTTGTCACTCGCTCACTCCGAGAATTCTCGTCGGTGAGGGGATAAGAACTGCCCACACACCGAGTCGGGCCTTTGTAAGGAGGTATCGGTAGGGCATGCAAAAGAGCACCGTGTTTGTTTGTTTTTCCCCCCCCCCCCCTTCTTTTTTTTCTGGTTTTTTAAAACGCTTGGCAGCTTTGCACTCTTTCAAGAGCATGAATGAGTACCACGAGCTGTTTGACGTGTTTCGGCCGTAGCCTTGCGCCGCCCCGGCCCCATGAGCCCTGAATCCAGGAGCTTCGCCAGGTTTCGGGACGCCCTTCGAAATCAAAGTCGGCGGGCGCGCGAGCAAAGGCTTTAGGAGGAAGCCTTGGAGCACAAGGATTGCAGATTTGAGGGCGTTGATTGGGTTCCTTCATGCCTTTTATTTGCTGAAAGGTTTATATTTTTCGTTTTCCCCTGGTGGTGTTAAAGGGAACCTATCACTTCTGGCAATATTTTTCATTTTTTCCAGGGGTCAGAAGGTTCCCTTTGCAACGTGACTGGTGGCAGAAGGCAAGCTGAGAGCCGCAGGGAGGTTTCCTTTTGGTTTCCCTGCATGGCAGACCTCAACAGAGACAAGCCCATGAGTGCGTCAAGGCTACCGTAAACGAGGGATCGCCCTCTCTTTGATTGTCGCGCGCAAGATGCGAAGTGATGCATCCATGCACGGCATAATCAGCTGTTTGCATGTCGCCCGAGGCTATTTGAGCTTGAAGTGAATCAGCCAACCGCTCAGACCGTACGTTGCACATGTCTTTAGCCAACTCAGTTTGGTTTGACTTCCTGACATTTCCCGCCACCTGGCTCCGAAATTAATCCTTCCCTGCACCCTGGATGGTTTCCGTGGTGTGCCATGTGTTTTCAGATCAGATGCCATCTGGGCATCTGGGCCCCTGAGCTTAGCTTCCAACTTGCGAGGCGGCAATGGCCGCGCTTCTGGTAAGCGGCTCTCCCAAAATTAGTTGCACCATTGTTGGGGCCTTCTACCTCTACGGGTCGCTTTTATCTTCCATTTGCTTAAGACATATATATATATAATATTGTATATTTTCCCCTGTGGGTTTTTAGAGGGAACCTATCACTACTGGACGTATATTTTCCCAGGGGGCTGAGCCAAATGGAAGTTGCGGGTCTCAAGTCGCTGTCTTCGGCATGGCGTCATGGACTTCCTGATCTTCACCCATGCCTCGAGTCTCGAAGCTTTGGCGCCTCGAATTCGAATGAGCTGAAGCAACCAACAAGACTAGGCCCCCCAGTAGTGCCCTTTCTCATCCTTTTTAGGGGGAACGCGCGGACAGAACATCAAGCGGGACGACCGGGTGTACTTCTAACAATGGTTGCAGCGCGCTCGGTTTGGTTGCACTTCTGGGCTCTCATATTTTTCCCTGGGCGGTAAACATGTCACCCTTTGACATTGAGTCTCCGTTTGGGTGCAGTTTAACGGGACATAGGAACCGTGAGGTTGAGATTGAGGTTGCGAGCTGTGGACCATTGAAGCAAGACGACATGTGTTTTTGCACTTTTGAAGAAACATCCCAGAAGTACCCTCCTGTCCAATAACATGAAGCCTGACGTTGCGGGTCCTGGTTTGGACGATTTTCCGTTGAGGACCCTGTGGTGGGTTCTGTGGCAACGTGGACAGGGGGGGGGGGGTACTTCTGGGGTTTTCCATCCAAAGTGCGAAAACACATGTCTTGTTTTGGTTCTTTAGAGGATTCCCTGACAGGAGGGTACTGTCAAGAACCGCGAGAAATACAGTGGATGAACGAAATCCATTTCGCACCACTTGGAAACCATGGGAAACCCTGGAATGTTGGTATTTACCGGGGAATCGAATTTTCAGAAACCAGGCTTTCTTAAGATTCTTAGGCGGTGCAGACTCGCGGATGTCGCAGCCATCCGCAGTATCATCAGCTTGCCTCTACTTGGTTTGTATTGGTTTGGAGCTTCGTGGTGTCCCATCTACCCTCTATAAGAACCCGATGTTCAACCCCTGCAGCATCACCACCACCTCTTCGAACGGCCTACTACCCAGTGAGACCCCCCCCAAAAAAAACCGACCAAATACTACAATTTCAGGGTTTTCCCTGCTTCTGGGCAACGTAAGTCCCCAATCAGACCCCACCGGGCCAGGGCTCGAAAGGGCCGTCCTTCGGCCTCGCTCGCGTCAGGCGGAGGCCTCGGACTATGCGCCGGGCCTGCAGAAGTTGCTGTCGCCGGGAGAGGGCGGCGGCCTCTCGGGGGCTCTGGTTCTCTACGTGGCGCCGCCTGAGATGTGGAAGGTGGGAGCTTGGAGGTGTTGCTGTGGACAACTGTGGGGGTGTCTTTTTATATTTTTATTTTAACCCCACCTAAAATGGATGGTATCCATTTTTTTGGGTGGAAATGGAGGGTTTTGTCTTTTTTGTTTCACTTTAAAGATCTTTAAAGCCACCAAAAGAGGGGTAGCCTCAAAAAAATGCGGGGGGTGGGGAGGCGTTTTCTTTTGCAACCAACGAAAGCTCTCCAAAGTGGGATTTCATGGTCAAGGCCACCAAAAAGGGCTAGCCTCAAGTAGAGACCTGCCCAGTTTCCGCTCCAATCCTGGAGCCTCAGGGTCTTCTCGAATGGGGTCCAAAAGGAGGTGGAAATGCACGCTGAGTTCTGAATGGCTTAGACATGTTCGAACTGGCGCCTAGGCCCCCCGGCTAGGTGCCCTTCACCCCTTTCTTTTTGGGGAGAGGCGCGGCAAGCCCCTACTAAAATAGACCACGGCAAAAAAATGATCGGGCACCCTTATTCGAACCTCTCTACTGGAGGACCTAGAAGGGGTTGTCTTCCACAACGCAGGGTCTGCATCCCCGCCTCCGCCGTTGCGAGGCTGTCTCGAAGGGAAAGCTCGTCCAACATGGCTGGTTCGGCTTTGCCTTCTACATGATCCAACGGGCCTCTGAAAGACTCACTGTTTTTTGTGGTTGGAAAGGGCTATAAACTTCCCTATATAATCCAAGCACAAGTGGCCAAGCATGTACCTAGGCAGGTTACACCACGCCCATTTCGAGGGTAACGACAGCGCCTAGCAAAAAAAAAAGCCTGTGCCGGGGGGGGGGGTGCCAGATTTCTGATTTGTGTGTAAGGGTCATTAATTTGCAGAATGCACAAGGGAATACCCCTCTATTCATGACTAAAATGGGTCTCAGAGTGTTAGAGTTTCCCTGTATGGAAGCGGGGCCGAAGGAATCTTGTTGCACATGGGTGATAAACCCTCAGTATAGCTGTGGCATGTCTGGATGATTAGATGGGAGAATTGCGTCACGCGTCTTTCCGCGAACACAACGCATTTTTCTGCCAACATGCAAGCGGCTCCTGCCATGTTTTCCTTGCCATCTTAACTACGCAGAAGTTTGCCCTGACACTCTTTTGCCCCAGTTGGCAAGGTTGCAGTCTGCTAAACCGCATCTTGGTTTGGATTGGTTCCTTCTTGAACCTCGGTTCCTTTCGAAGACAAATAGGGAAGGCGTCCCTCAAATAGCCAAGCAACCACTTCGGGGTAGCCAAATCGGTTAGCCCCCTTGTGAACATCCCAATCCAACCACTAAAGCAGACTACTAAAATGGGTGGTGAATTCACCTTCCCCAAAATGGTTCCAAAACGGTTTTGCCCCATACCCACCTGGGTCTCCTATTTTATGCCAACCAAAAGGGGGGGGGGGGTTTGACGACCCACAGCCAAGCGAGTCACCACCTCCCAGCCGCCCAGCCTCTCCCAGCCGCCCAGCCGCACAGCAGGCCACCGTGCAGCTCCTCGCCGAGTCCGAGTCCTGCGACTCGGAGGCGCCGGCCCTGGCGGCGCTGCGGCGGCGCTGCGCGTGGGCGGAGCCCCGGCCGGAGTTCTCGGCCTTGGCCCGAAATGGCGCGGGTGTCGGAGCCGGTGCCGAGGGGCGATTCGCTTCAGGGCCATAAAACGGGGGCGATGTCCGAGCCCTGTCCCCCCCCCCCAACAACAAAAAAAAAGACAAAAAGCGCAATTTCCTTCAGGGGGGCGGCCGGTTCCTCCAGTTTGGCGGTGTCCATTTCCCTTTTTGAAACCTCAGGTGGCGATTTCAATGGACACCACCCGTAAATTCGTCCATTTGCTGACATGAATACTGATCTATTTCCTTGCAAAGGGAACCTGACACTACTGAAAACATGTCCTCCTTGTTTCTCCATGGGCCCAAGCAACTGGCGGTTCGGCTTCCATTTTCAGGCTTGGCTCACTCTACATTGGCGGGCTTTACTATTCCCATTTCTGGGACCCGACGCATCCCACGCAGGCCTTGAGGTCCGACCGATTTCTGGTCCAGGTCCAAGAGAATGGCTTGGGAAGTTTCGGAAACCAAGAGGTTCTTCGGCACATTCATCCGATTGAAGCCTCCTTTGCAGGGATGGCCATTTTGTTGAGTGGTTCGATTGGCTGAAGGAAGATTAGATTCTAAGATTTTGGACTTTCAGGTTTTGGTTCAGTTGAAGGAGGTTCGGAATGGGCAGTTGGTTTCTTCTTTCTGGGTCCATGGGTTGAAGGAAGCCATCACCCACCAAGCCACCAAAGCACCGAGTGGAAGCTGAAGCTCACCAAAACGCCGGGCTCGAACCCACCGATGAGTTGATGAAGAACCACCAAACCACATCATTAATGAGCAAGGCGCGCGTGCCACTCCTTTCCAAAGCCACCTAACCACCAGGTGGGAAGCTGAAGCCCGCCAAACCACCACGCCACGAAATACCACGAATGACTGGGGTAGGAAGCTTTGTCTTCAGATTCGAGCAAAGCAAAGGAATATGGCTGTGGGTCAAAACCGTTTTGGAACCATGTTGCGGTAGGTGAATTCACCACCCATTTTAGCTATTTTAGTGGTTGTTGAATGGGATGTTCACGGGGGGTACGATTTGGGTTTTGACCCATGGCCCCTTGTCTGCAGGAAGGGGCTGAAATCCAAATCCAAAACGCCAAGATACCCCGAAGTGGTTGCTTGGCTATTTGGGAGGCACCTTCCCTATTTGTCTTCGAAAGGAACCGAGGTTCACAAGGTCATATGGCCATATGAGTTGCAACAACCTTCAAGCCATCGAAGGCGAAGCCTTCGCCGAGTTGTGAAACCGCTGGAGCCTCCTTTCGGGCAACGGCACAATCCTTGCGCGCTTCGCACCCCCGAAGCGGCGGCAGAAGCCAAAAGCCCAAAACCGCCAAAGGAGCTTATTCACCAAGCGATGTTGGCCATATGATTCAGATATGATTCCCAAGTTGTCTGAAATGCCAAATATTTGCTGGCGATTCTGGTGATTTGACTGGCCATCTATAGCTTCGTTCATTTTGCTTCAAAGGAGCGGCGGCTCTCCGGCTCCGGCGCCGGCTCCGCCGGCGCCTTCCGCCGCGTGCGGGTCCTGGCGCCGGGGGACTTTGGGCCCACGCTGCGGGCGGTGCGGGCGCGGCTCGGGGAGGACCTGCGGCGCCTCTGACTCAGACACCGCCCACTGGGAGGGGATCCTGGCGACGCATTTGCTGGGAACCATGTGGGCCAAACCACGCAGGTCATCGACCCCATAGCCTTTTAAGTCCAAAATGAATGACAGTAACCACTTTAGGGGAGGCATGTTTTGAGAAACACCAGAAGTCTTGTGCTTTTTTGGGACTGGAAGGGCATTTCCTTGGCTGAAGCTTGAGCTGAAACTTGAGCCGTGATTTCAACCACTGCCCAAGTTCTGCGTCACTGCCGAGCTGTTTGCTCCCGGAAGGAACCTTTCGGGCGCCTTTTTTGTCAAAAGGATTCGAACGCAAATTTCCGCATTTGGGCCTCCAGGTTGCGAGACCAAAGGCTCACCTTTAAAAGAAACAAACACATACCCACACAGACATGTGTTGCATGTTTTTGGTTTCCCCTCATTTTTCCCCCCCTGCCAGCCACAAGTCTTGTTAGTATCATGCTCCGTTTCAAGGGCTAACATATCAATTTCTCCCTTGCCAGCGTGTGAAACGCCACCTTGCCGGGCCGGGCCGGTCACGTGGGGCTTTGGGAGTTCCTGCCAATATATCCAAATTTGGCTGAATTTGGGACACATCAACCGTCCCACCAGCCCGCAACCAAGCCACCCAGAACCACCCCACAGCCGGGCCGGGCTGGTGGGGGGGGGGGTGGGGGTTGTAGCAGGGGTGTCCGATGTGACGTAGCAACCCCCAAAGGCCTTGACTGCTATTAGCAGGGGTGTCCGATGTGACGTAGCAACCCCCAAAGGCCTTGACTGCTATTGGGTTGGATCTTTAGGCCTTCTTGCTTTCACTGTTTGAAATCAAGAGGTTTTCCGAACTAAACCCCCAAAAGGCTAAACTTTTTTGCAGGGGGTCAACCCAATCCACAACCACCCCAACCAACCCACAGCCAACCCACAACCAACCCACAACCACACAACAGCCAGGTTGGGGCCCCACACCCCCCCCCCACACCCCCCACACCCCCACCCCCCCCCCCCACACACCCCCCCCCCCCCCCGGGGGGTTGTAGCAGGGGTGCAGCAATTTCCGGTAAGGCACTGGCTGCAGAAGAGCAGCTACGACAGCCCCAAGTTCTTGGAGGCCACGGTGCGGTTAGAGCTGCTGGGCTCCTCTGTCTGCGTGCTGCGCATGGATGAGGACGTGCTCTTCAACCACCAGACCCTGGAAGACGGCGGGAGGGGGGGGGCTGGGGGGCTGGAGGAGTGGAACGCGGTGGGGGGATGAAGGGGGATGAAGGGGGATGAAGGGGGATGAAGGGGGGATTTTCTTTGGTGGTATGTTGTTGTTCTTTTGGGGGGGAATGGTTCTTTTTGGCCGGGGTGCTTGCTTTGGCATGAGAGGTGAGGCGGGGAGGGTTGAGGGCCAGTTGAGGGGCCCCAGTTGTTCGGGTTCCCTCTAAATCCCTTTTTGTTTGATGAGGCTGCCGCTAAATTTGGGAAGCCCCTCAAAAGCTCATTGAACTGGCGGGCCTGCATAGGCCTGAATTCTGGCCAGGGTCGTGAACGGATGAATTCGGTTCTAAGCTCTTGGGAGTTGACCATTCGGAGTGGGGAAGCCATGAAACTATCTTGAAAGGAGAACCGGGTGCCGCAATTGGCTTGGTTTTGCCGGGGGCCGTATGAAGCGTCCCCACTCGAAGGTCCAATCGGGCGCCACATGCACCCAGCGAACGCAAGACAGCGCGCAGTATGTCTTGCACTCATTGCCATGCTTAACAGCCGGTTCCAGCAGTCTGGACAGTTTGGCCTGGATAGGGTGGCCAATATGCCCGCACACACACACACACACACACACACACACACACACACACACACACACACACACACACACACACACACACACACACACACACACACACACACACACACACACACACACACACACACACACACACACACACACACACACACACACACACACACACACACACACACACACACACACACACACACACACACACACACACACACACACACACACACACACACACACACACACACACACACACACACACACACACACACACACACACACACACACACACACACACACACACACACACACACACACACACACACACACACACACACACACACACACACACACACACACACACACACACACACACACACACACACACACACACACACACACACACACACACACACACACACACACACACACACACACACACACACACACACACACACACACACACACACACACACACACACACACACACACACACACACACACACACACACACACACACACACACACACACACACACACACACACACACACACACACACACACACACACACACACACACACACACACACACACACACACACACACACACACACACACACACACACACACACACACACACACACACACACCCGTGGAGCTCGTCATAAGCCACTCCCATGTTGACAGGGCAACACAACATGCCGACACCGATGAAGCGAGCAGAGCAAATTGACACGCGTGCGGGTCATCGCGCGTCACAAGCTTGCTTCACTGGACCCTGCCAAACTCCTCCCTGGATCGACCAATGGGATCTCACACTTCTGTCCAGAAGGCTTCGGGGCACGGCAGGTTGGCGCTGAGTTGCGGGTTTTTCGGCGCTAAATCTCGGGTTTCGGCGCTAAATGGCGGGTTTTCTGTTGCCAAATCGCCCCCCTCCCCCGGAGGCATGGCAGGCGTGAAGCGGCTGGTGGAGGCCTTGGTGGAGCAGCGGCGGCGCGAGGGATCGATCCAGGTCCTGAGCGGGCAGTACGTCTTCAAGTCCGCGAAGGCGGAGGCCGGAGGTCGGGACTCACTTCCCGAGTCCCGTTTTGGACGTGAGTCACTTCGAATTGGTCGGGCCATGCTAGTGGTTTGATGTAAATGAGCAGTTTGGACATGTCTGGACTTTTTTGGGCCATCCACGCAACAAGTGGGCTTCGGAAGATTTCTGGGGCTCTCTTCTCACTTCGAAGTGCAACTTCGGATCATGTCTGGGGTTCCCTCTCTTTAAAGAGTACATGAGTACGACTTGTCTCGATGTTGTTATGGTGTCCGTTTTGCAGGTACCCAGGATTCTGGTGTCGATATTAAGTGTCCAGGGTCCATGAACTCCTGGTTAATAATAATTACCCCAAGAGTGTTTGGGATCCATCTAAAAGCAAGGTCTCCCGAAACGGCCACCCCCCCCCCAAACACAGCCTCCAGTATTGGTTTATTTGAGTCTCCCCCTGTTTCGGCATGTTTGGGGGGCCGTTCAAGTTCAGGTGGTCCCTTCCTTTTTCCTTTTTTTTTTTTTTTGGTGGGGAGGGGGCCAAAAGGCCTGGCCCTGGCCCTTCCCCCCTCTCCCTCTCCCCCCGGCAAACCGGGGTGTCGATCTCCAAAAGGTCCGAGTGGCGAGGACCGGCGGAGCTTCGGATTTTGGAACGGCGCCTTCACGGCGCGCGGCAGCCCCGCGCTGCTCGCCACCCGGGCGCTGTGCCTCTCCGAGCGCCCGCCACTGGAGGTGGGGAGGGGGGGCGGCAGGGTGGGGGGAGATGCCGCCATGGGTTGGGTGGGGGGCAGTTGCCATGAAAACCAAGGAATTCAGTAGATTTGTTTTTTTTGCTGATGTTTGTTTGGGGGGGTGCTCCTTTTTTGTATTATTTTTAAGGTGGGTCAGTGAAGACAAGACACGGATGGGAAGCAAAGACATTGCTGGGGAGTCGGCTGATCCATGCCACAAAGCGTCCGGGTCGCAGGCCGAGCTGGATGAGGCGGTGGACGAAGAACTCATGACCAGTTTCTTCGAGGCCCTGTCTGGTTCCATTTTGGTGGGGAAGAGCATGGCGTCGGGGGACTTCTTTTCTTCCGGTTTCCCCAGTCTGAAATATTGGGGAAACACACGACAAGGTGCGTCTCATAATCATTCCACTCAGGGGTTTAGGTTTATAAGATTTAGGGGTAGTTTCCACTAAGACCCTACAAGTGTTTGGCTTTTAGCAAGGGGATCTGGGAACAACATAGTTTTGGGGTGTGGGTCAACAATAGGACCCAAACTGGAACCCTGGTAAGTGGAAATAAGGACTTATAGACTAAAGGGGCGTCCCCCAAAAAAAACACACCCACACTTTCCCTTCACCTCAAGTTTGACCCATACACATACACCATACACCATACCCATACACCATACCCATACCCACACCCATACCATACCCATACACCATACCCATACCCATACCCATACCCATACCCATACCCATGCACCATACCCATACACCATACCCATACCCATACCCATACCCATACCCATACCCATGCACCATACCCATACACCATACCCATACCCATACACCATACCCATACCCATTCCCACACCCATGCACCATACCCATACCCATGCACCATACCCATACCCGTAAAACCATACCCATACCCCACACCCATACCCATACACCATACCCATGCACCATACCCATACCCATACACCATACCCATACCCATACACCCATACCCATACACCATACACCATACACCATACACCATACCCATACACCATACCCATACCCATACACCATACACCATACACCATACACCATACACCATACACCATACCCATACCCATACACCATACACCATACACCATACACCATACACCATACCCATACCCATACACCATACACCATACACCATACACCATACACCCATACCCATGCACCATACCCATACCCATACCCCATACACCATACACCATACACCATACACCATACACCATACACCATACCCATACCCATACACCATACACCATACACCATACACCATACACCATACCCATACACCATACACCATACACCATACCCATACCCATACACCATACACCATACACCATACACCGTTTTGATTCACGCGCATTTCCAGCCACCACAGGCGCTGCCGGGCGGCTCCTCGTCCAAGTCGTCGGACCGCCTCGCCTCGGGGGCGGGGCTCTGCAGCGGCGGTGCGGCGCTGGATCTGCCGCCCTGGTGCCACCTCCGGCAGCGCCCCGGCGGAAAGTCGGAGCGAGGGGACCGAGGAAAAAGGGGGCCGCAGGGGGAGTTTAACAGGGCTGGGGTGGGGGAGGGGGGGTGGGGGTGGGGGGGGGGTTCTCCTCCAAACATTTGTTTTTCTTCTTTTCTTGAAATATGGTGGGCCTTTTCCACTGCCTGTGGAAAAAATGAGCAGCCCCCCATAGTAGTGCAGAAACCCTTTCCAAGGGAGGCGGCTTGCATTTCAGTGGAAAAGGCAAGGACCATTGTGGCCAAAGGGGATTTTCTCGGGGTTCTCCTCCCAAGAAGATTTGATAAAAAGGCGAAATATGGAACAGAGTCAGTCCTTTTTTTGCGCGTACCCCAAGTGGCGACGCTTGGCCACTCTGCGGAACCACCTGCTGGGGCTCTCGGTCCGAAAGGGACTACCAAGTTGAGATTCGCGGGGGCGGGTCAATGCTTCCATTTGCTTAAGAATATGTTTTTTTTTTTTCTCCCCCTGTTGGTTCAAAGGGAACCTATCACTACTGGAAATGACAATTATTTTTCCAGGGGTCTCAGCCAAATGGAAGAATCTGCGCAACGGATTCGACAGAGTCTCTTCTGTCCAGCAGCAGCTGCGAAGGTGGCCCAATTCTGTGCTTTTGGACGCACCTCCAGGCGTGCGGCCTTCGAATGTATCGCTTTCCGTTTCGGTGATCCGTTTCGAGTTCATGGCTACAACTCGCTAAATAGAGGGCGTCAATTCTTGACTGCTATTGGGCAACGGATCTTTAGACTTGAACTTTTTGGTTGAAATCAAAGTGTTTTCTACAAACCCCCCAAAAAGTTACACCAAACTTTTGGTCAACAGCAACCAAGAATTTTCCCCCAACTGAAAAGCCCAAAGAGGATGTCTTCGCCAGCTCCATCCAGCAGAGTGTAAATGGGGTGGTTGGACATGACCTGGCCTGACCTCCGCATGGCTGCTGTGGCTTCCATCTTTAGCCTTGAACTCTTGGGGATTCCTACGAAAGCATCCATCATTCGGGGGGCCGAAAGCCTAGAAAGAGACACCGAAAACACATGCCCCAACTTCACCTGGCAAGTGTTTTTTTTTCCTGTTGGGTCCGGTTCATGTTTAGGTTCGGGGGATGCAAAAAAAAAACAGTCAGTTGTTTTTGCTACCATACTTTGGAACGATTTGTTTCCCCTGTAAATGCAAACAAGCACTGGCTTCCACCATGGTTTCATTTTGTGGCGCGAAATGGATTTCGCAACCATCCACAGAATCACTCAGCGCCTGCCTGGTTCGCTCATTTTAGGTTGGGCTGATTGCAAGAAACAGAACCAGTGGTTTGCAAGCCCGCGCCATTTGAGCGTCGCTCCAAAAACCGGTACCAAAATGGAGCCCTGGTAAGTGGAAACATGGACCAACACCTGCGGTTTGCCCCTCCTGTTTCATGTTGAGCCACTCGCATTTGGGCTCCGAAGCCTCCGAGGAACGTGCTCTGGATCGACGACCAGTGCCTCTGTCAGTTGGTCGCTCTCGAGAGCTCGCGCCCCGAACCCGCGCGTTGCTTCGCTTTGGAGGTGGAGGTGACCAAGGGGCGTAGGCGGGATTTGGTTTACCAAGGGGCTTTGCTGGGATGGGTACTGCGGAGGCATGGAGTCATGGGGGCTGAGGGAGGGGAGGGGGAGGGAGCCCAAATAATTAAGCCCTTGTTAAGCCCCTAATACGGCCTTCTTTGGCTTATTGGGGCCCCCCAGCCCCCATGATGGAGGTTTTATACAAGGGTTTACACTGCTTCAACAGGTTTTATAGGCGAATCAGCTCCACCCATCTTGCTTCAGTCACCCCCTTACCCATATCCGAGAATGGTGCCATCTATGGAACTCATAGAGCTTTCCTAGGCCCCCCCCCCAAACACACCCAAACACACCTCCAAAAAGGGTTTATCTTTGTCTTTCCCAAGCAGGTATGTTTCGGGGGGCCGGCTTTTGAGGGGGGCAACGGGAAGCCACAGGTTGTTTAAACAATAGTGTTTCGATTCTTTTTTCAGGATAGGTGGTCCAGCCCGCAGGCCCCCCGCCAGCTTCGTGTGGCACACCCTGGAGGTGTACCTGCCCTCGCTGCTCTACGGGTTGGTCGCCCGGAGAAAAGCGGGTGACCGGACACCTCCGGGGCTGTTTAGTCATGACCTTGGGTTGCAGCGCCCTTTTCTTTCCTGTTAAAGACACAACTTTTCAACTTTTTGGGGGTAACATGGGCTATATGTCTGTAAAAGAGTAACTTCCCCAGGGCTTGGAGTTTAAGGGGTAAGGTTTAGCTGGAAACCAAAAGGAAACCCGGCGTCCAAATCTTAACAAAAGACCAATCCGACCGTTGGTGGTTGGGTTGGTGGTTTGGACCGCTTCGGGGGTACCTTCCCCTGTGAAAAAGCTCAAAGCCGCCAAACAAATCGTCTAATGCGGACAGGATTGATACACCCCTTTTCATTAAGATGGGGAGTCCTTCATCTTTGTGCGTGTGTGACACACCACGAATAGGGCGAATATTCTCCTCCGGGGTCAACATTTCAGCCCGCAGGTTGAAACCAAACCTCAAACGCTGAGTTGGCCAGCTGGTTTGACAGGCAGGGAACGAGTTGGAATGGCCTATAACCCATCCTCCTTTAAGGGAAACCCAAACGGTTCATTGCCACACCTGGAAGTTCACTCCCACTACTGAGCACCAGCAAGTTGTCCAATCCGATGTTCCACAATCCCTATTGTACAACCAAATGTGAAGAGGGGACCCCTTACGCAACCCCAGTTCCTTTGAGGTTACCAGGCCTAAGGTGCTGTGGCTATGTGCTCATTGTGCCGTTTGTTTGCGGGATCTCATCAGGGTTGCACGTGTCGAGGTCATGCGTGCCTGGATCGATGGGCCACTAGCCCCTGCCCTACGCTGGGTCCGGTACTACGGTCGCCCTTTGCCGCTCAGCCGGAGACAACGTCTCGAATGCCAGCTCTGGGAGGAGGCGCCGGATGGGTACTGTGAATAAGGGAAATGAATGTCTATGTGCATTTGCAACTATATATGCATTTTGCAGGGCATGCACGCCAACACACATACACACACACACACACCGTGTGCACATATTAATATATATATATATATGTACACACATATAGAAATATAATGTCTGCTGTGTGTATGCGTGGATGTGTGCACATTTTGTGTTGGATATCCGTGTCATGCTTAACACATACATATTGCATATTTCTATCCATCCATCCATCCATCCATCCAGCTATCTATTTGTGTGTCTTATCTAGCCTATTGAAAACAATTCTAATACATCTATTTCTCTAGTCTAATGTATCTACATCTTATCCATTTAAATCGACTTATCTCCTTCCTACCTAGCTGGCTAGCTACCTACCTGCCTGAGTCGAGATCCGATCTTATCCCAACTTGAGCTGCTCTGATCTAATCTAATCTACTTTAATCTATCTATCTGTCTTGTCTTGTCTTGTCCTACCCTATCCCGTGCAATCCTATCTTGTTATCAGTCCGCCCATCTATCCATCCCTCCATCCATCCATCCATCCATCCATCCATCCATCCATCCACCCACCCACCCACCCACCCACCCACCCACCCACCCACCCATCCACCCATCAACTATCTTCTATCAAACTATCTAATCTATCTTTTTGCCTATGTATCTATCTATCTATCTAGCTCCTATCTTTGTTTCTATCCGCCCATCCATCCATCCATTCATCCATCCATCCACCCACCCACCCACTCACCCATCCATCCATCCATCCATCCATCCATCCATCCATCCATCCATCCATCCATCCATCCATCCATCCATCCATCCATCCATCCATCAAATGGATCCATCCATCCATCCAACCATCCACGGCCATTTTGGCTCAAGTCGGATGTCAAAAAGGATCCAATTCTTCTCCTCTCGCTTACGCAGAAGGACATTTGAAGCGACAGAGATTGAATAAGACTCGCAGGGAGGTTCAAGTCTGCTTGCCAGCACCACCACGTTTTCCGAACTTGGGAAATCACTGTCCACAAAGCGGCTAGGAACAGTTGTAACGATTGGGGTTTGCCTCTGTTCTTTGGGGGCACTCGGAGATTTCCATCAGGAGTTTGGAAGTGTTCATTGATGGGTCTCTCCGGTGCCGTCCTCAGGGAGAAACAAAGAATCATTGATGGGCGAGCTTTCGTGAGACAAGAACAAGTGAGCCACAATCAACACCCGGGTGGATGAAGGTTAGTAAGGGCCAATCCCATGACGCAACACTGGTTCACCAAGTAACCGAATATCTAAACAAGCCAGGAATGAACAAGCTCGTAAATACATAAATCGAGAAGCTTGTTTTCTACCCTCCCACCAACTAACATGAAACCGGCACAGGAGGCCGGTTCCTTTGGGCGCCGGTTCCTCTAGAAGGAAAATGGTTCAACCCTGTGAAGTGGTGCGCAACGGGTGGCACTCCTACTGGCTGGACGAAATGTTGCACCTCCTAAGAAGCCCGGAAATGATTTGCTTCCCCTGCGCATACCGACGAAGAATTGTTTCCCATGGTTTTAAGTGCGAATGGGTTTCGCAAGTATGCTTCTCACTTCCTGAGTTCCGTTTCGGACTTGAGTTTTTTTTGGGGTTTGGACCATCTTAGCGCGTGAAATAAAGCTGAGTTGTTCAAAGCCGACCTTTTGACCTTTTTCTTTTTTGGTCCATATCTAGTGACCCCAACAGGTTAACCTTTCAGTTCCAGGTCCTTCGGGCAACTTAGAAACAGTTCGGTTCCTCTTTGTTGGGCCAACCCGCTCTTTTAGTGATAAGTAAGCAGTTCGGTGCAGGGTTCTGTTTTTTGACTACCCCAAGGCAGACTTAAACCCAGGGGTGCAGGGGTGCTTGATCCCCCAACAGAGACACCCTGGGTTTAAGTCTGCCCCAAGGTAGTCCCCAAAAAACGGAACCCTGGTTCGGCGGCTTTTTTTTGGGATCCAATCCACTCGTTCGGAAGGCGCTGCGGGCGGTTTTTCTCAGGCGCTGCAGTGCTGCTCCGCGTGGCGCCTGCGCTGGGCCCGGCTGCGGGGAAGCTGCGGGCCGTCCTTCGCGGCGCTGTGGGCCACCGGGGAGGCCGGCGGAATGGCGGGGGATGATGCTGGGGTGGGGGGTGGGTGGGTGGGTGGGGGGTCAAGGGCTGAGTGGTTCGATGGAGTTGTTTTTTTGGTTTTGGGGCTGGGGGGAAGGGGGGTGGTTGGGGAGGGGGGGTTGCATGCAACCAGTTCCCTGCTGCATGTTTTATTGAGCATGCGAGTACCGCACCTCACGAAGGCACTGTTGAATCAGCTGAAAATAATTGGCGATACGCAACAACGGACGGTACTGGAACCGACCATCATTTGCAGGCTCGCTTGCGAATCGCGGCGTCCGAGCTGCTTTATCATTTCAGACTTTCGCGGCGGTTGCCTTGCACATGAAACTGTCGTGGCCTTTGCGGGCTGTTGGCGAGTCATTCCGCCGGGAGTGGTTCACTGGTGTGGCGCAACGGATGACACGCTGCCCTAGTTCGCTGGACCTCCGGCATGGCACGGCAGAGACAGAGAGACAGGGAGGGAGATCCAGAGACCCAGAGGCTCCAAAAACGCACTCGGACCTACAATTTGACTTGGACCGTCAGCGAGAGAGAGTCACTTGAGTCTTAAAACGCACTTGGACCAACTTGAGCCTGAGTCACTTGGACAGTCGGCGAGAAACAGTCAGCGAGAGAGAGAGAGAGAGAGAGCTTCACTGTTCTTGGCATGTTTTTTGGTTTTTTTGTTTTGTTGGTTCTGTTCATTTTTACTGGGGGTCTGCAACAAACAGTCAGATTTTCGCTACCATACCAAGAGTAGAGATGGAGAGATTGGAGAACCACGGGCCGTTTCCAGGTGCAGCGCCACCCGCTGCTCGGGTTTCGCTGCTCGGCCGACTCCTCCGCGCCATCGCCGCGAGCGCTGCGCTTGGGCCGGGGCCTGGTGACGGCGGACGCCCCTGACAAGCTGCGAAAGGCGGACCTCAACGAGTTCCTTCTGGAGGCGAGAAGGGGGAAGGGGACGTTTGGTTCGTGGGTTTTCTTGTTTCTTTGGTTTGTTTGTTTGGTTGTTTTTTTTTGGGTTGGTTGGTTGCTTGGTTGATTGTTTGTTTGTTTGGTTGGTTGTTTGTTCGTTTGATTGCCTGCCTGTTCGCCTGTTGGTTCTTTAGTCTGCTTGCCGGTTGGTCGGTCGGTGGGCCAGTCGGTTGTTATGTTTGTTTCAAGTTGAACGGAACGTACTGCTGGGTGTGGCGGGTACGCTCAGGATACAGTCCCTTTGAGGGAAATCCGTCAGGTGGGGCGTCATGTCCACCAAGCACTTTCGATGTGATTCCCTGCGCTTCAAACATGTGCATCAGCCGAAAGCCCGCTCCATCACTCCAGGCCAAGCGCTCCTTCAACACCCCCAAATTGTTATATAGGTGCTGTATCAACAAAAAGCCAACCATTCGGGACCTGCGGGCCAGCACTTGAGAATCCGCGGATTTTCTTTTGGTACCTCACGCGCCGCCAGACCGCATCTGACCGCATCTGACCGCCTGACTGGGCACCGCTTGCTCTTAAGACCCTGGAAAAAATAAAATAGAAAACATATACATATTTCCAGTTGTGAGAGATTCCCCTCTAAAAACCCACCGGGGAAAATAAATAAATCAAAAAACACATATTCATTTCAGCCAAATGGCAGAGCTTGAGGCGCTGGGGGAGCTGATCCAGGACGCCCTGCAGCACCTCGGCTGGGTGCTGCTGTGGCCCTCCGTGGTGCAGGCCGTGCGCCACACGCCGCCCCTGCGCAGCGGCGGCTTCTTCGGAGAGCTCTGCTCCGAGGCCCCCGGGCCGCCGCGGACGGCGGAGACGTGGCGGAGCCGGCTCTGAGTCCGCGGAAAAGGGGCGAGTTCCAGGGGGTTGGTCTTCATCCATGTGCTGAAGTGAATATCTTGTGGTTTCCCCTGTTGGTTTTTAGAGGGAATCTATCACTACGGGAAACTTCTTGTTTTTTTGGAAAAACAAAAACATGCAGGGGCCTAAGCAAATGGAAGGTAAGCGGGGGGTTTAATCCTCTGGGGTCAACATTGGCCGTGGCTTCCAAGGAGGCGCGGAGGGCTTCATGAAGACCGCCGGGCGCCCAAGTTTTCAAGCGGCGGGTTCTCCGCGGGGTTTTTGGGCCGGGGCGCGGGGCGGGCGAGGTGCGCGCTTCCTAAGGGTTCTTATGGCATGGGTCATTTGTTGTTTGAAAAAAATAAATAAATAAAAAATATGAGGATTGACAAATTCATCACTGAGTCGTCCTTAAATCCAGCGTGGCTTGTTGATTGGCTTTGGAAAAGAGGCATGACTAAGTGAGAGGTGCTCTCCCGGCAACTGCTGCCCGTCCCAAATAGTTGGCAAGGAATGAGGCTTGGCCAGGAGCTCTTGACTGACCACCCCTCCCACCCAAATCAGTCACGCATCGCTCATTGCGATGCAGCGATGCAGTTGCTTTTGGACGTCTCTCTGCCGCATTTGTTCGGTGGTGAATAGGGCCATCAAAGTCATCAAAGTCAATCAAACGCAATTAGGGAGGTTTGAAGAACCCCAGTTGGTTGGCTGGCTGCCTTTGCTTGGTTGGTTGGTTGGTTGGTTTGGCTGGCTGGTTGGTTGCCTGGGCTTGGCTGGCTGGCTGGTTGTCTGGGCTTGGTTGGTTGGTTTGGCTGCCTGCCTGGCTTGGTGGGTTGGTTGGTTGGCATAGCCAAACGCAGGCGGCCAAGCACACAGCTTCCTCTGAAGCCGCAGCCACTCCGAAAACTCCCGGGCGGCGCGGCCTTGCTTTCACGCCCCCTGTCCGCCAATTGTTGGCGAGCGGGGTGGTTTTAGGTTGACTCCCCCAAACAAATTTTGTACGATTCACCAAGGGGGGGATTCTACAAATCAGTTGGACAAGATTTTGCAACTTTTCACCGTGGCCAGACATGGTATCCTTTCAGTCCAGCCTCAAAGGCTGCACTTTTGGCGTGGTTTGGCCACTCTTGGGTCAGCTTGAATGCCATGGAGCCCTGCGACGCGCGCCTCGCTTCATGCGCCGGCTTTGACGAGGCAGTGCTACTGCAGGCGACGGCGGTGGGGTCGAAAAGCGCTTCGCACGCTTCGCACGGCGCGCGGCTGGCGGAAGCTGGGTCGATGTTTGGCAACATCTTACATCTTTGCAACTAGGTCCCCCAGTAGTACCCCTGTACCCTTTTTTTTGGGGAGGGTTCCCCTACTAAAATAGCCTACAGAAAAAAGTTGGCACATCATCGGTTTAGGAAGGTCAACCCGAAAACACGATTTGGGCCCTCAAACCCTACAACGGCGAGAGCTTCCAAGGAAGCGGCGGCTTCTTTGAGGCGCTTCGCGCCACTTCAGGAGCGCTTAGCCTTTACCTCCTGCAGCGCGGCAGGGATCAGGAAGTCGGATGTGGGGTGCAAAATCAGGGGTCCCCGGATTTTCCCCCTTGCGGTGGTTCACGACCTTCTGGACCCCAGGTTTGCCAGGTGCCCTTTTGCCGTTTCTTTTTTTGGGGAGGGTTCCCCTGCTAAAATAGACTACCCAGCCGAGGGACCTACAATGTTACAAACAAAGTATTCGTATTTGGAGGACTGCCCATGTCTCCCCGAAGAAAGTTGGCCTCCCTACTGGAGGGCCTAGGACCAGTGTAGCGGGTTGATTCCCTTTGCGTCAGATCTGCAGGAAGCTTCAAGGGTTTTCCTACACCCTGGGATCACGCCCGCTGGAAGATCACCCATGGCCTATTTCCAGAAAAAAAGTCGGTGGTTTTTTGGTTTTAAACAAAAAAAACAAAGCAATGCTTAGACAAAAAAACAAAGAAGTTTGGATTATTTCTCCTAGGGTGGTGAAACAGGAAAATACTTAGAGACCCTGGTTTCTTGGTGGATCGGGCCAGCTTTTGGCCCACCTTTTCACCGGTGCTCAAATCCAACCTGATTTGGACGGAACCGATTTATCCCACTTTTGTCCAGGGCCCCTTAAAAGACACATTTTGCCACCATTTGAAACCTGGCTTTTTCCACCAAAATAAATGGAAACCACCATTTACAAGGCAGTGTTCAGGTGTATAATGTAAGGATCCCGGTTTTTCCAGTCGGTTTGGCCGGTTTTCAGGTATGGTCCTGGCCATTGGTGTCCTGATCTTCTGCATCTTCTGGACCATGCAGTTCGCGCACCAGGCTCGGGGGGGGGGTCGGGGGGGGGTCGGGGGGTTTGGGCGGGAGCGAAGTGAGCTGTTCAGCGCGTCACGGGTGGCAGTGAAACCACCAGGCTGTTTTGTTTCCTTTTCTTTTCTTTTTTTCAACTTTTCTTGTTTTTAAGAAACATGTTTGCGCCTTTTTTGATTTTTTTAGAGAGCTCGCCTGAACCTAAACGCTTTACCTGGATTACCTCACTTTCAGGTGTTGGAATTGTTGCTCGGCGGAATGCTTTGGGGCTGGGACGTGGTGCAAGTGCTTTGTTGGGAAGTACTCTGACCTCTTTCTGATCCCTCAAGTACATCCATAGAAGTGACTTGGACCCTTTGGGTTGGCTGGTGAAATCAACCACACCAGCAAAAGGAACCACCAGATGTGGTTTCTCCAAGAAGCCTGGTGCTGCACAAAACCTGGTGCCGCTGTCACCGTTGGATGCGGAGAACCCAATTAGGAACTCAACAGTTGAAGCAGAGTTGATGGGATCAACTCGGCGTCTTGCTGCAACCGGCTCGTTCACAATGCAGAAGCCTGAAATGGGAACTCAGGACACTCGGCCCAAACCAAGCACAAAGTCTACATCGAGCTGAAGCTGGTTCCAGCCACAGCTGTGCATGTAACGGTGCACATTCATTGGCTACGGCATACCTTTTCAGCTGCAAACAAGCCCAAGTGGCATCGCTCGATTGTGGCTTGAGCCCGTTGCGAGCGTCGAACCTCACCAGCCTCAGTAGGTCAGCTGGCTTCAGCTGGGTGCCCTTGAGTCACACCATGCCGGCCCTGGCAACTCCGATCATCGCCCACATGCCACAAAGGCAGTGGTAGGTCTCTGGAATCCTTTCCAGCCGAGTTGCTGAAGCTCAAGGAAGCTATCTCAGGCAGACGGCTGTCATCAATCTGCGAAAATTTTATAGCGAGCTCACGTGGGGGTACAACGAGCGAAAGCCATGATAAAGGGCCTGTACTTGGGGATCCAATTCTTAATTCAGCCTGACTTATAGTCAAAATTGCAGATCAATCACAGAGCTGGACGCTTTGGACTCGTCCTTGTCCAACTCGAGTAGCTGCACCCAAAAAAAGTTCGCTGCCTTGCTTCTTCTGCCCGGAGGACTGTCCTCTCCTCACAGGCAGCTCGGGTTTTGACACTCGAGAAAACTTGACGGTTTTCTCCCGAGGATGTGCGAGAATTTCTTGCCGAACCCAGCTGAAACCAGGTCGAGCTTAGGGAATCCTCGGAGCTCCGCCCGCGTTGCCGACATCAGCTGAGTGACTCAAACCTGGGCCACTGGCCGTCTGAGCTACATCTCACGCACCTTGGCAACTCATTCTTCGATCGTTGCCTCTCACTCCGCAGAAGGAGCTGCTTATGCCTGCGCACCGGTTTTCGCTTTGGTTCGACCATGGGTGGAAACAAGACGGAACCTCTGGAGCTACACTCCCCGGCTGAGGCTCTCACCAGTGCAGGAAGCAGCAAGACAGGCTTTTCTTTCCAACCAGGGGTTGGATTATCTCCTCAGTTGCCCAAAGCGAATCGACCTTTCAACCTTTCGGTGTTCCGATGTTGATCCATTTTTTGTCATGGCAACCCAAAAGGTGATCACCTGTTATTTCTGGGTCCAAACTGGGCAACTGAGTCTCAATGAATCCGCTTTTGCCAGGGCCCTTTGAAGGCTAACAGGTCCCCCACCAAAACCCTTTGTTCAGTTTTGTCTTTTTGCCGTCGTGGGGAGCCCTTCAATCACCTTACCCCTAGTTTATGCTTTGGATTGTTGGTTTGCACTTTAGCAGCCTGTTGGTACTTTCATGGTTGTTGGCAATCATCTTACATTGTTGCTTGTTGTTGTTTAGTGGAAGATCCAAATCCACTTCACTGCTAAAATTTAAATTGTTTGCTCCCCTTCCAACGTCCACCAAGCTTTCCCAGATGGGGTTTGAGCGAATGGCGGATTCTGATTTTTCCTCCGCTCAAGGAGCGGCTGCGGCGCTACCAACTCCACCCGGGGACTGCCTCGGCGTCGACGAAGACCGAGAAGAGCGACGCGAAGGCGACGGGAAGCGTTTCCCGCTTCCTGAGGTCCGTTTCGACTGTAAGCTTTTCTTTGGTGCATTTTGCCAAGGGATGTTAGGACTTTAACTTTTTCCAACTAGTGGGGTTTCCATTAAAGCACTAAAAAAGTTAAGCTTTTAGCAGGGGAGCAGAAAGCAACCGAGTTTTTGGGAAGACCAGTTGGAAAAGAACCAGTTTGCACCTTTTTCCTTTCTTTTTTGCTGAGTCCACTCAGGAAGTGAGGTTTTGGCACTCGAGCAGGGTGTTTTGGGTTGTCTATGTTAGGTCACAAACCGGCAAGCGGAAGGTTTCAATTTGCCAGTGAATGCTGGCCGCTGTTTAAGGCTTGGAAACTCAGTGAACGTTGGCTCAGGGCCAAGATGACAAGGGGAAGCTATGCAATATGCCTTCACTGAACTGTATGTCTGATTGAAGGCTGTGTGCCCTCCCGCCTTTGCTTAGCCCCTTTGGATTTGAATGGCTTTCAAGGTGAACTTCAATTTGGCCCTTTGCGTTGACAATTCCCAGCCATGCTTTCAATGTTTCCATTTGACCTCTGAGGCTTCAGAGTGCAGAGAGATTCTGGCCGGCGACCCTTTGAGGCAAAATTT